TGGTATTGGACAAGAAGGAATCACAATATTTTGTGATAGTCAAAGTGCTATTCAATTAGCAAAGAACCAAGTTTATCATGCAAGGACGAAGCACATTGATGTCCGATATCATTTCATACGAGACATCATAGAAGAAGGTGGAGTCAAAGTGCAGAAAATTCATACTACGGATAATCCTGCCGATATGCTGACAAAGGTGGTGACTGCGGTCAAGTTTCAACATTGTTTGAACTTGATCAACATTGTTGAACATTGAAGATTAAGGTTGAAGACACAATCAAAAGTTGTTGAGAGAAAGTTGAAAATGGAGAATCTTGCCAAGGTGGAGATTTGTTAAATTTGACAAGATTCAAAATGTGAAGATTTGGTAGTTAGGAAGATAATTCTTCATTGGTACAAAAGTCAAGATAACATCTTTTGTAGGTGAAATTTAGGTGAACCATAAAATGGTTTCACAAGGTAAATCTTGACATTTTGACACATTGTGATGTCATGGATGACATCAATAGGAAGAATTCACTCCTATAAATAGGTAGTTCCTAATTCATTTGTAGCACACCTCTCACTTGCCTTCTCATCTTCAAAGGCATTTGATCTTCTTTCTCTCTTGTAGTATTTCACTTGTACTCTTTTAGAGTGAAATAAATATTGGTTGGTTGTGTCCGAGGAGTAGGCAAAAGAAAACAAAAGTTTGCCGAACCTCGTTAATTCTTGGTGTTCTTTTTATTGTTGTCTCATCTACTATTTATTAGCTACCTTTAGATATAGCAGTTGTGATTTCATTGCTCTCTATATATTCGGCTTCCGCAACAGTTATTTAATTTTTATAACCATAATTTGAATTTCAACTCAAGAAATAACAAAACTAAGTTACAAATGGATAGATAAATTTTAGAGGGGGGTAAAACTTACCTGCACCGGGTGTATACACCAATCCAATACATGCATGCCGTATGTTTAAATTTATAGTTGATTTTACTTAACCTTAATGAATTAACATGTGTTTCACTTCATTAAATCACGTAATAATAAAAATTGCATTTGTTTGGTGTATACAATCGGTGCGGGTAATTTTTTTCCATTATCCTTCAAATATTACTAATTCAAGCACTTTTTATGATTTGTCACCTCATGACGTGTTAGATTAATATGATCATTCTTAAAATATTACTATTAAAATATTTTCTCCTTAAAATATTCCTAATTTAAGCACTTTTAACGGCTTGTCACCTCTCATGTTAGATCAATTTGATCATCCTTAAAATATTACTTTTAACAAAAATTATCCTTTAAATATTTCTAATTTAAGCACTTTTAACGATTTGTCACTTCATGTGTTAGAGAATGTTATGTCTATCATCATATTCATATGAAAGTTTTTGTAGAGTTAATAATATAATTTTATGGACGACTTCACCTGTTATAAAATTTGTATATGTTTCAGCCCGTCAAGCCATTAACATTGCTTCAGATCCATTCATTAGTCTGTTGAGCACTTGAGCCCAATTTAATTTGTCTCTAAATAGGATGGGAAAATTTCAAAAATGATGATAGTTTGGACTTAATTAGAAATTTATAGCTATAGTTTGCTTAATTACGAATTATAGCTACATGTTTGGGGGAAGAGAGAAGCAAGCGATACTTGAAGAAGAGGAGAGAGGCGAGCGAGATATGAGAGAGAGGGGTTGAATACCTATTGTATTCGTTGTATCACGAATTCAATTGACACAACTAATTTGTATCAAAAGGAAGGAGGAGAGAGGCGACATATGGAGGAGAGAAGATGAATACATGTTGTATTCGTTGTATCACGAATAAAATTGATACAAAATGATTTGTATCATGTATCGAATTTAATTGTACATATAATTTATTTTTTACCCTTAATCAGAGTTTTAGGTTGGAGGCTTTAGAATGAAAAAAAATCTTGATCATACAGAAAAACTTCTTTCTTTAGCTGCCTTAGGCAATTAAGGCGAATCAAAACTGATTAATCAAATAATCTTCAAGAGAAAATTTAGGAAAGATACATTTTATAATCTTCAAGAATTACCATCAAATTTGAGTAATTTGTTCTTCAAAAGCTACCAAGACATTGTAGTCTTTTGTCACAGACTTAGACTTCAACTAACACTCTTTACTCAAGTGGCGGGTCATGACACTTTGTTCTATTTTACAAGGGAACTATAATGTCAAGTATAAGTTTCATAAAAAAGGAAATAACAAGAGATGTAGCCATCTTCAAAGCATCACGTATCCATCGTTACAAGATCACGAGTAGTAGTAATGGGGAAGGGGGTTACAAGGTTGGGAATCGAACCCTTACCAATAAGATGAAAGTCCAAAAAATTTAAAACAAGAAGAATACGAAAGAGAAAAAGAGGACATAGTATAACTCTTTTTAAAGCACTCACAATCCAGAAGACCTCTGTGAACATAAACATACAACATTATAAAGGCATTATATCACACAGAGAAAATTAAAAGGCAAGTACAACTCAACCATTGAGAAAACCAGAAGGAAGAATTGAACCTAATTAAAGGAAGATTGGACTGAAACCCATTGTCTCTTTAAGTTGTCTAATTTATTACTAGCAATAGTCATCTGCAGCTCTTTATCTTTAGTTCTACCTCCTTGCTCTTCTGCCAAAGCAGCCAAGTGCTTGGTCTGGTTAAATTTTTCACTCCTCCGTTTAGTTATCTCGTTTTTCTCCTTTCGAATTGCCTCCAATTGTGCCATCATTTCATTCTCCTTGTTCTCTAGTTGTGTATATTTATCCTTAAGATCATCCTCCTCTTTAGTTGAAGTTTCCAACAATGACTTAGTATTCTCAAATTCAGCCAAGAAATTTTGACAATCGATTCTGCTCTGAGAACAATCTCTCCAGGAATTCGTGATGTTTGGAAAGTCGAACTGAAATTCCAAAAGTTGTTTGGCTTGTTCATCTCTAAACAATGAGAGGTTGTCAGCAAGTATGGGCAAAGCTTCTTTCATGGAAGCTTCATGGTTTGGGTTAGTGAGATCCTCTAGAGGCAGCGTAATCAACTTGTCGAAATTCAACTTCATCCTCCTTGCATCATTTTGTAGTGAAGGTTCAGATATTGATTCAAGCGTAGATTGAGAATTAATACAATCAGACTCCAAGTCATCCATGGAGATCAATTGATCTTTATCAACTTGCCAGAACGAAGCAAAAACAGCGAGATGACCCTGATGATATTAAACAGATGAAAGAATGAGTAATCTCCATTTCTGTAGTTGAACAAAACATAGCATGTTACTCTCCAATTTACGTAAATATAAAGTGTAAACCTCCCAAAACAACTTGCTTGTAGCCATGGATAAGCTATCAATTGAGACGGTCTAAAATGGACGATTTCTTGATTGGTAATTTTTAATTATACTTGAGTAGGATCATGATGTGAAGATAGAAAGACAATTTCTTGGATATATCTGTTCTTTCCACAGGCATGGAGATGCTTGTTTCCCTTTCCATTGATTACGGTAATTGCAAGAAATAGTAGGACTAAGATAAAAGGAAAACTAATTAAGTCAACATGAAACATTATCATCTATACTTAAATATCATACTCTGTAAGCTTACCTGATTTGGCTCCGAAACATTTCTAAAATCGTAAGATGATGAGCCTTCCACGGAGACAATGACCTCCTTTTCAGTATTACAACTGAGTCTTTCCTTTCCCAAGTACTGTTTCTCCAAATGACTAGTCCCATCACAGGCAGGCTCGAGTTCCTGTGGTTTGTACACGACTTCTCGATTGGCTGAGTCCCCTTCTTGAATCATAATGTTTTCCTCGTCACCATGATCATTTAATGATGTTCCAATTTCTTTATCTACTGATAGATTAGAACTCCATGATTTCTGCTGATTGGAATTGACTAGAACATTGGTAGATGCAAATGCAGTTGGAGCAGTGGAGATTGATATCCGTGGGCCATTAGCTACTGGGACAGTTTCACTGCTGCTTATATTGGAGAGTAAAACCCTGTCTCTCTTTATTTTTTTAGATGGCCATCGGAGGATTCCGTTTTCTCTACAAATTCGCTTAAATGTGGAGACACTCACTGTAAAAAAAGATTACATAGTAAGATGACCACATATTACGGAACCTTATATCTTCAGAGACAGAGTTCCTAACAAGAACAGAAATAGGCTTATTCTGAAAATCCAAGAGGAAGCTTACCATCAAGGCTTTCTGCAGCCTCTTCACGCTTCTTGCCAAAATGCTGTTTAAGGTCGTCTAAACTAATTGATCCAACAATTCCCCACTTCTTTTTCAATTTCTTATCCATTTCCTGTATATTGCCTAATTCTCCACTTTGTAGATTATGAAGTGGAGATTTAGCATTCTGCATGCGTACACTGCAATTTATTAATGGTAGTTTTGATAATCGCTCTTTTAGTAAACGCCTAATTCGATTTAATGAATTTGATAACCATATGTAAACGGTTTTAGTACATTGACATACACAATGAACAGTCTAATCAAGAAATTTAAGGAAAATTGATTCTTTGTACTACATAGACTTTCTATTATCCTACCTGGACTTTGGAGTTTTCATCTACTACTTGCAGTACTGTTTCGTCGCAGACATGAATTTGGAATTTTGTCTTCATAGTCAGACTCAGCATCTTCAAAGCTATCTTCCGCAGATAATCTGTCTGGAAAAAAAATGAAATCAACATATCAGGAGGATCAATTCGTATTGACATTAGCATAAATAATAAGGTTGACCAAGGGCGGAAATAATCATACACAAATATCCAGTTATTGACAGGAATTCATACCTTACTTGTAGCAATAGTAAATATCTTTTCCTCAAACCTCATAACAATTTTTCGAAGTTCCTCTTGTTCAAATGTCCGGATATCACGATGCCTCCTTAAATATTTAATGCTAACATAAGAGAAAAAGGATGATGATTACATCAGAATGCTGAATCTCCACTTGACATTAGCCTAGAGCATGAGGAGGCTGTAGGTGTAGCCTCACATTGAACTCATGAAAATGTCAATCCAATACAGCTTAAGGCAGTTTTAATGTAAAAATAAAATACTGAAATCATTGAATTGTTTTGGAGTAAGGGATTAATTGCTGATGTACATGATAAACACAAATGTAAAAATACACTCACAGCTTGTTGGCAATTATTTGGCGGGAGTCCGGTAGAAACTCAAACCGCCAATCATTCATCGACACATCATCCTCTTGAAGCTGGGCATCAAAAGGTTCAGCTTGACCTGCACATTTCATCGTTTCTCTAATCAAACGAGAGAGAGAGAGAGAGAAAACACAAATTTGAAAGGTAAAAAGAGAGTTACGAACCAGATTCGTGATGATTCCAGAGAGTTAGGTTCTCCATTGGAGAAGCAGGTATGGAAGAAGAAGCAAAATAGAGCATACCAGGCTCCTCCCATATTTGCCAGTAATTTGAAACAGGTGAGCTTATCAACGGAAAAGCATCATTAGTAGTACTAATAATTTCCAACTCCCTTCCAACTTCTTCATCCTGCTCCCCCATCTCTATTGCACCTTAATAAATACACAGAATCCATATTTATAGATACTTGCATTTGACTTTTGACTTTTGACTTTTGAAATAGCTTTTGAAAGGGCCAGAGGGTTCGATTTACGTACTTACTCCGTTTCAAAAAGATTGAGTATGTAAATTGAACCCTCTAATCAGAAGTTTGAATTGACACGAAATTTAAAATAATAAAAAAGATTTTTGAATTTTATGATCTAAAATTAAAGTTATGTCAAATATATAAAATTATTCTTTAATTTTGTGACCTTAAACATGTCACCTGAAAAACTGATATTAAAATGTTACCAAAAAGGAAAGAAGACATGGAAGTCTTTTTTTTAAAATTGAGAGATTTTGAAATAGCTTTTGAAAGGGCCAGAGGGTTCAATTTCCATATATACCTGCATTTGACTTTTGAAATAGCTTTCTTTTTTTTTTTTTCTTTTTTTTTTTTTATGTTTACTTGATAGCGATACAGGATCAAATGGTTCTTTTTTTTAATTTAATTTATAGTATTGTTTTAAGAAGGATCAAACGGTTCAATTTAACAGTTTCGCCGAATAAACAAAAAGAAATGCATTCACACCCACGGTCAATGACATTGCTCTAAGGTGTTTGGTCATAAAAATAAAAAAGAAATTACGTTATTTGGAAAAAAAATTAGAATATTTAAAGTTTTTATTATTATTTCAAGGATCAAAATAGAATTTATCAATTAACTGAAATATCAAAAGTATTGCTCCTTCCGTCTAATAATAGTTGTCTATTATACTATTTGGAATGTCTAATAATACTTGTCTACTTTATAAAATCAATGGATAATTTTATTTTAGTTTTTAATTTACCCTCATCATTAATTATAGTCATTTACATATTATATTTTTCAAGACATTGTATTTATGATAGTTCGTGTAAATTTGAGCCCAACGACCCATTTGAGCCCAAAGTAAACTTGAGCGGGTCATTACCCAACCCAATTTCTATTTCAACCAATTTTAATAGAGTAAATTTTAGGTTTAGCAAACATAAAATTCATATTTGTATGTTATAACTATAGTTTGCATAATTGCGTTTCATAGCAAATTTTATGTTTGTTATGGAGCATCAGATTGTATAAATCGCTAGCATGCCTCTTGTTTGTATAAAAGTGCAGCAATTGTATATGTAAATCGGTTAGATAATTGTATATATGTAACTACTATGTATATGTATCAATGATTATGTTGTATATATATCTGCATAAAATTTAAATTTGTATACAATTGAATCGAAATAAAACATTTGTATATCAAAATTTCTCTCTCTCTCTCTCTCGCTTTATACAACACAAATTATACATTGTAATTTGTATAATTTGTGTTTGTATAAAGAGAGAAAGACAAAATAGAACTGGGAGGGGAAGATCTATATTTGTATAATTATAAGTGTATAGGACGAAAATATATGTATTTGTATTTGTATATACAATTTTCTCTCTCTTTAAGTCTTTATACATACACAAACACATTTTATAAATTTGTGTTTGTATAAAGTGAGAGAGGCGAGTGAGAGACTGGAGAGCGAGAAATCTGGGGAGAGAGGCGAATGACAACTATTTGCTACGGGTTACAATTAAATCAAAATTGTGGTTATAACATTTAATTTGAATTAATAGTTTGTTATTTTATACAATTTTCCCTTTTAAGAATGGTCAGATTAATTTAACGACTCTTGAGGTGATAAATCGTTAAAAAGGCTTAAATTAGGAACATTTGAAGGATAATTTTTCTTAAAAGTAATATTCTTAGGAATTACGTTAATCTAACACGTGAGGTGACAAACCAATTAAAATTGCTCAAATTAAAAAGATTTGAAGGATAATCTTTGTTAAAAGTAATATTTTAAGGATCACCAGGTTAATTGAACAGTTACACATAAACATAAAGTATTAATTTTATTAAAAAATTGACCGAGTTATTAATTGAGCAGTCACACATTAAGTATTAATTTGGCCAAAACACATAAAATATTAATTAAACGAAAAAATTAAACTCACTATATATATGTTATCACCTATATATACTATGGTACCACTCTAAAGTCATTTATAAACCCTAAATTATAGAAATCAAAATCAGTCTTTTTTCTATCATGGCTGAAAAAATCTTAAGGAGTGCTCTTCTCATTCTCTTGTTTCTCACAGTTGGTAAGTATATATGTAAATGTAATTTATATGATTTTTGTTTCTACTCATTTGATTATCATTCACAAAAATCTATTCCCAATCGTGCTCGTTTTGAATTTGGTCATACCTTTTTATGTTGGCTAAGCTTATGTGATGCATACGTTAATATAAAAAAATACAAAAAAATATTTTAGAAGAAGAATTTTTACATTGAATATTCGTAGATCAAATTACTTGTTTTCAAGGGCGGAGCTAGGGAGGTGGAATGAGGGTTCTACCACATTGAATCCTCTCATCTATTCATGTATTTTTTTTTTATATATATTTTAAATTAAATATTTGTGTCTAGGGATATAGCTATAGGGGGACAGTAGAGGTTCATTCGAACCCTCTTTGCTGGAAAATTAAATTCTATAGTGAATGTTGATCAATTTACTTGTCAATCTTCTTTCTGTGTTTATTTCTTTATAGTTTATTTCTTCTTACTGAAAATTCTGATTCAGCCACGACTCGTTAATTTCAACATTTATTGCACTTATATATGTTTCTCATTTCATTTTTTTGTTTGTTTGTTTGTCAAAGTGATGGTGGCAAGAGGAAGTGTTGGTGAAGAAAAATCACCAGTGTGCCAAGGAAAATGTGAGAACTATCCAGATTGTAATGAATTTTGCAAAAGAATAGGATTTAAGTCTGGCCAATGTGTTCCACCTTTTGGGCAATTCTGTTGTTGTGATCCTTAAAATTAAATTTTATGGTTTTATTGGATTTAATATTTGACTTTAAAATATATTAAAAGTTATTATATGTTGTATTTAAGCTATTTGTTTAATTGCAAGCTTATCCAATTTCAAGCTTATTCAATTGCAAACTTATCTAATAAACTATATAATATAAATTATAAAAAATAATAATTTTAAAAAAATATAATATTCTAAATGATCATGTTAATCCAAGGGTTAGACTTTGAAGTACCATTTTAAATGAAATTAAAACTCAGTATTTTATCATCTATATATATATTATATAGTACCATTATCATTAATTTCTAACTCTTAAGTACTTTATAAACAACCTGTAATTATAAAAATGGAGATTTGTTTCTATTTTAGTTTACTCACAATAAGTATTTTTTTTTAATTTATTGAATTTGAATGATATAATTCCTTTTCCTTGAATTTCCCAAAAATGCAGATGACAATTACTTGGATTGTACTCAACCTAAAGCAAATTTCCTATTGGGTTGTTTAGTTCTTGGATCTCTTTGTGGTTTAGCCTCAGGCCCAATAACTTGGCCAACCTTTGGTGATGAAGGTGTTATACGAAAGAGAAAACATGATAAGACGGCCTAAAATCACATAAAAGAAATTTATCTGAAAAGATTTATATATATAATGTCTATTAATTGGGGTTAAGTTTTAATCGCGTTAGTATGTTTTCTTCAGGTCCATTGGTTTTAGGCATCTTTTATTATAGAATGATACATTGTTATCTGCGGCAGAAACAAGATTTCCACTAAAGAGTTTTAAAATATAAAAACTCGAACACACAAAAAAGTCTAAGAGGATTCAATATCTACTATATATAAACAGTATAATTTTCCATTGAACGAAATTCAAATGAACCCCTCAACCCTATGTTGCTCCACCCCAAATATTACATTATTTTTTGCTTGGTAAAGATACCAAATGATTCTTGCTGTAACTAAGGGCCTAGTGTCACAGACTTGGATAGTTTCTCCCCCCCTTATATTTATCTCTTATTTGAATGGCAAAATGACGGGTAGTCACTGCAACTACGAAAGTGTATTGTCCCGTCCATTTTTATAAGAGATTTTCATTTTTATAATGAAAGGTAATTATTTTTATATATAAGAGATATAATCATATTTTTTTTTATTCAATTTGTAAATGGTGGTAATTTTTTTATCTGGCAAACACAGAATTGTTACTTCATATTGTTTCATTATACATCATTTTGTAAATGGGAGATCATTTTTTATGTGACAAACTAGGAATTGCTATTTTCATATTATTTTTCATTACAATATCATTCAATTCGCAAATGATCATAAGAGATCATTTTTTTATCTGGTAAATTAGTAATTGCTACTTTCATATTATTTTATTACATACCATTCAATTTGTAAATGATGATAAAATATCATTTTTTATCTGTCAAACTAAGATTACATACCATTCAATTTATAAATGATCATAAGATCATCTTTTTTATCTGACAAATTAGGAATTGCTATTTTCATAATGTTTCATTACATACTATTCAATTTATAAATAATCATAAGGAATCTTTTTTATCTGACAAACTAGACATTGCTACTTTCATATTGTTTCACTACATTGTTATTAAAAAAAAAAGGTGAGAGCTAAAGGAGGGCTTACATTGTTTAGGCACGCACACATGCATGACAATTTGGCAAAGAGCCTAATAGTACTTGATTCCTACATTACTAAGTACTTGCTACATATGTCAAATCAGTCATATGTATGCATGCCTCTTTCAACTTTGGAAAACTCATTCAAAGTTAAGGCATTAATTAGCTTTTGTTACACTTTTTCAGTATTGAGAATTTTTCCATGATTGATTGCTTTGGGTTTCAGTACTCATATTTGACCACATTATTGTCCAAATTAGGTAAGGGAATCATTTTTTCATAACAATAAAGCTTAGTCCCATATTATTATTTCAGATAAATGGAGGATACTTTTCCCCAAGTAGTACAAAACAAAATTTAAATTACTCGTATTGAAGTCGTACTAATTTAAATTTGTCCAACATAGAATTCATTCAGAAGAAGCGCTCCCTAACAAAGACTTTTCTATATTCGGAGCTTAAAACTAAGATCTTCGCTTAAGAGAAGAG